CGATATGATTTATTTTAAGTTTCTTTAAATCTTGATTTTCTGTTGGAATGGCCGTGATTGGATGGTTGCTCGATCTTTGGAATTATGTTATCCGACTACTACAATTGGTTGGTCGAGTCAACCTTCTTTTTTGGCACTTTGTCGGGCCGACTGTACATAGATAAATCAAGAAACGAATTTGTGTGTCCAGCTATTAGATAAATTCATTCGTCGCATTTATTACAACTTCGTTGCAAATAACTGTGCTTACGCATAATGTTTGACGTTCAAGTGTCGACTTTGTTTGTCGTGATGTGCGTGTGGCCGTAAAACTCGTTAATTGTTTTTTTTATTACTGTGTCAAAAACATGAATAGAATATTGCGTCTTGAATTCGTAAATTCAAGAAAAGACAACCGTATCATAGTTTCCGTAGATACGTGATCCGTATTCTATTGCCAACTAATTTGATTTTTAATTGTCTTAAAACATCTTGGTGATTACTTATAATTACTTTTACGCAGTCAAAATGGGAAGTTCAGCTATGGATATGCAAGTTCTCCAGGCAAAAGATCTTCAATGGAGGATTTCTACGAGACGAGAATTGATGGTGTTGACGGGAATGTCGTTGGTCTCTTTGGTGTCTTTGATGGTCTCTCTCTCTCTCTCTCTCTCTCTCTCTCTCTCTCTCTCTCTCTCTCTCTCTCTCTCTCTCTCTCTCTCTCTCTCTCTCTCACACACACACACACACACACGCACACATTTATGTATCGATATATTGTAATTATTTAAGATGATGCAATATTGGGGTAATTCTTTGTTATGTAGGTCATGGGGGAGCTCGAGCGGCACAATATGTGAAACAGAATCTTTTCAGTAATCTGATCAGCCACCCAAAGTTCATTTCCGATACCAAATCAGCTATCGGTATTATTTCTTATTTCCCATTTCACTTCACTTTCCATATTCTTCATTTATTTATTTTATTTTATTAAATCTAACATATCTCGTGTTTTTTGTAATGATTGATATCCCTTTTTCAGCCGATGCGTACAATCATACAGACTCGGAATTCTTGAAATCTGAAAATAACCAGAACAGAGATGCTGGTTCAACTGCTTCCACCGCTATCCTTGTTGGCGACCGTTTATTGGTCGCAAATGTTGGGGATTCAAGAGCTGTTATTTGCAGGGGTGGTAACGGTAATATTTTCAAAACTTTTTTTTTATTCAATTTTTCTTGTCAAAAAAAATCGAAAAACTAGTACTTAGATTTACGCATGGTTATATTGCAGCTATTGCAGTCTCCCGAGATCACAAACCGGATCAAACAGATGAGAGACAAAGAATCGAAGATGCTGGAGGTTTTGTCATGTGGGCAGGTAGGGAAAAAAAAGTTCAAGCGGTTTTTTTTTCGTTTTTAGTTGTTGCTAAATTTTTTTCCCTAATTAAACGGGCGATTTTCTGGTTTTTACGTGTAATTTGATATATGTGTTTAGGAACTTGGAGAGTCGGAGGAGTTCTTGCAGTTTCTCGTGCATTTGGTGATCGACTGCTCAAGCAGTATGTCGTTGCTGATCCAGAAATTCAGGTTTTTTAGAAAAAAAAAAATTACTATATATTTATTTTATTTTTGTTATTTTTTTCGTTCGGATAAATTATATCAGCTGGACGGAAAAGATTAATTTTCATATTTTTTTTGTTATTTCATCATGAAATTGAACTTAAATGTTATTTCTCGGTGCAAAAACACAGGAGGAAAAAGTTGATAATACCCTCGAGTTTCTCATCCTTGCAAGTGACGGACTATGGGACGTAGTAACAAACGAGGTACTACTACATTTTAATATCAAATTTTGCGGGTTTTT